AGACGGCAGCGTTGATTCGGATCAACTCGTTAATTCGGAATTATCTCGGGAATTAACTGCAGTTGATCCGTATTAAGTCCTAGAGTTAATTCCCAAACTTAACTGGGATCAAGGGAATTTTCGATGACAGCACTGACCAAAACTCAGAGAGCGTAGAATACAGGGAAAATGCGAAAATAGCATGGACCTATACATTTTCATCGGTAATGCAGTCATCATACTAATTCAAATAGGAATCCAATTTAAAATGTATAAGAGCTTATTTCGGTGACTGCATTACCGACGACAGGGTGGATGTCTATGCTAGTTTTGCAGTTTCTTTGTGTTCTAGATGCGTACAACAAGCCTGTAGGTCCTAGGTTCGATCCTCGGTTGGAGCGATTGCCAAAAAATTTTGTTTTTATTATTTCTTTTATTTTTCTAAATTGTATTTGATTTATATATTTAATTGCTTTTTATTTTATTTCCGTTTGTTTTAATTTATTTCACATTTGTATTTTATTATTAGTTAATTTAAATTTTTAGAGTTTAATTTTACTAAAAAAGTCAAAAACAACTAACTAAAACAAAAATTTTAAAAAATATAGAAGTTATAATTGAATCAATAAAAAAAAAATTAAATGAATATTCTACTGGCCGTGGGATAGGAACCTATGACCTCGCGGCTCGTTAATCCGCATTACTGCCGTCTGTCAAGGCACAATTTTGATCAGATCAATTGTGGCGTTAATCCGAATCAACGCTGCCGTCTGTCTATGCTTATACTCATACTTAACAACATGCCTGACGCGCAAAAACTTCAGCTCTGCTTGGATTGATGTGCAAAGAACTGAGAAAATAAGTGCGCACATTAAAAAACTCCAAAAATATCTACGTAAAGAGCCTTGAATAAAGTATTTCCTGTTTGAATAGCGAAAGTTCATACCAAACTCTCAAATTGTAAATTTTCTAGTCTTAAAAAAGTTTACGTGAAGAGCATTGCATACAGTATTTCCTGTTTAAGTCTTAAAAAAGTCTACGTGAAGAGCATTGAAAAGAGTATTTTCTCTTTGACTGAAGAAACACTCAAAGAGTAAAGTTTCGAGTACAAAAAAATTGTTGTTTCTCTCTACGTTTCTCTTCGTGCAAAGTTTTGATCTACAAACCGCTTGTTCAAGTTTTTATTAAAATAAGTCGAAGAAAATCTCTAAATAGGCAATTTCGCAAAAATGGACGTCTTGGCATTGAAGCTTCGCCAGAAACAAGTCCTCCAGAAATGGAATATCATATTGGTCGAAAAGCGGTAAGATGAAAAACATATTTCCAGTTGATTTTCATCATTCAACCCAAAAACGATATAGGCTTGAAAACAAAAATCATAAACCCGAATTCTCCTCGAAAAATTCATAGTGTGCAAAAGAGAAGGTATCGCCACTGTGAAACTTCATTTTTCAGACATTGTCCTTTTCTTTTTTAACCAGTTTACAACACAGTTTTCTCAGGACTCCATCTTTACGAGCACGATTGAATAAAACGCCAGTAAATAAATGTCAACACAGGAAAATTTAAAGAGGTATATAACTTCAAAAACGCAGTATTTTTTTATCTAGCGAAATTCCAAATGATATGACTAAGAGCGTTCACAATTTTTATGAAGACAAATCCTACTTCGAAAAGAGAATGCGAAATTGCTGTAAACATTAAAATTTTAAGAGGTGTGTAATTATGCTTGTTGTTGACTATCCTGCAAGAACAGTGACTATCATTTGACAAATCATTTGAGTGGCAACACTGATAGAGATTTCTTTCACTGGCTACCTACAAGTTTCTATAAAATTCTAAAGGGCAGTGTGAAAA